TTTTTTTTTTTTCTTTTTACAGTTATGTTCTGCAGCTATTTTTATGCTATCTTACCTGCAAAACAAGATTGTCCATAAATGGATGAGCAAAGATAATATGATTTTCCTCAGAGGGGGGCCAGCAAGTTTGGGGCATGGGGAGGAAAACAAAAAGCACGTAGCAAAATGGTTTCCTTGTTTCTAATTTCTTTTATTTATTTTTGGTAATTTTTACAGTACCAATCACCCTCTTTCTCTCTTTCAACCGTTTTATTTTTATATATTTTTTTTTGGAATTTCCATAATTTCCACCTTGAAACAATTTTTTCAGACTTAACGGTTTCAAATTGAAATGTGATATTCTAAAAAATGCATAAACAAAAAATGTATTCATTTCGATTAAAATAAATATGATGGATCGACCCGCCTAACAATTAATTGTCGCATACAATAATTTGTTTTCGCCAAATTCTTGTGTGAATCAGTCTAACCGTTAAGCAGGTCAAACCCATCATACTATTGGGAAATGCTACAGTCCCGTTACGGCACCATTCCGTCGGGGTTTGTAACCGTTAGATCATCCTGTAACCGTCGGAGATAATTGATCTAACGGTTACAAACCCCGACGGAATGGTTCCGTAACAAAACCGTAGCATCTCCCCATACTATTTGAACAAAAATGCATACTTATACTATCAAATGTCATATCATATTTCTTTTTATGTCGTTTTCTTAAAGTATGGCATTTTTTTATGAAAGTATGCACATTTGTTATTTGTATAAGAGTATGTCGGTGTGGTTGTTAGGCCGGCCTGCCACAATACAACCGTAAAATATAAGCTAAATAGTCCAAAAGCATCCCCAGCCAGCATTTTCTAACATTATCTTGCATCACAAATACGAAACATACAAATCATAAAAACAAATGTGAGCTTTATATGCTACTTAATTGCTACATTAGTAGGAAAACTCAGATAAACCAACTAACCTGTGACTTGTAATACCAGCATTATGAGGCAAAAACCTTCTTCACATCACACATCAAACTTCAACAATCTGTGAGAACGCAAAAATACAGTAGAAGTAAGAAAACTAACAATATCGTCACTTTACGAGGTCAAGGTTCAGGCTACATGCATACTGTACGATTTCCCACACACGAGCAATTTTGTTTTGTTCATGTAAATTCCCAAAGAAAGACATTATCAAATGAAGATGATGGAAAGAAGTATAATTTCTTATCTGAGATAAATCTGATGCTTCTTTAAGGCTTTCATTATGCGGAAAATATGATAAACTGAAAAATATAAGAACTCAATGCAGAACTACCTTACTGAATAACATAAAATAGATATCAATCAGTCTAATTGGCATTCACATTTAAATAATCTCATGAAAATCATTCCCGTCGATATCTTAAGGTTCTCGAAAAGAGATAATCAAATGCACCTAATTTTTTCCACAAAAGACGGAATATGCAGTAAGTGTCCACGTTTTCCCCCATTCACGATTCACCAAGAACCTGCTAGTATGATCAAAGAAGCCACAGCAATAACACCACCAAATTAAATTTTGGAATAATTAACTAGACAAGCAACAATATAATCCCGACGATTTCATGATAAACAAAAGAAGAAAAAATTAACCAACCTTTTCTCCTCCATGCCTTTCAAGCACCATAAAACCACTCATCACCTTACAGCAATCACACGTAAAAATACCCTCTGCACTTAACCAACCAACACAGGCAATTATTCCCTCCGCGGTTTCCTTTTTCGGACAGCACAATCCCATTCTAAAGAAGAAAAAGTCTCCGACCTTCGATCCCAAGCACGTGCCCAATTCTGTTCGAGCTGTTTGCACGGATTCCTTTGGAGGTCAAGAGGGCTCCCGCTTTCGGGCCAGGCTGCCTTATAACCCCAAGGACGATATTCTTTGCTTCTTCGAGCTGGGTGAGCTTTCGGCATATCAAATTAAATACTAAAGAGTATGGTTTCCACTACCTCCTTGTCGCTATTCGAATTCTTTAAGTTTTCAAAATCGATAAGCTTGAACAATGTCAAGAAGCTATTAACCAAGGATTCAAAATCGAAATCTGTGCCAGTTTCTACTTAAAAAAAAAAACACTCTCAGCCACAGAAATCTAATATCTAGCTTAAGCAATGACAAACTAACTTATACACCCAAGCCCCAAAAAAACTGTCACTATAAAAAGCGGGTGGGGGTTTCTTCTTTTACCAATATACAATACAACACCTTAATGCAATTGATAAGCAACAAGACCAAAATGAATCAGATTAGACAAGAACCATAGCTGCACGAAATTCATAAAATTTATGAAGGAAACGGCTTACTTACTGCAAATGTATACAAAACGAAACGCGGTGTGTTAATTTAGCCAGCAATCAAGTAAAGATGCAAACTTTACACGAATCTTCCAAAACCCATAAAATAATTCAGCAAAAGGAGTGGGTAGTTCGTATACATACACGTCGAAAGCTGAAAAACGAAACTTTTACATAAAGAAAACACGAAGTCATCAGAAAACGTTGGCCAATCGAAATGGAGACAGGAAAACCGAGGTTCAAACTCGAGAGCCAGAAAAGGGAGATTCTGAACTGAAATGGAGAAGAAGAATGCTAGTGTGCTCAAACGAGGGTCTTATTGAGTGAAGTTTCTGTTTACAAGTTTTTGAGCTTTTATTATCCATATAATTTTTGCATAAAAAAAAATGATTGGGTCACAGCGTGGGCTAGCCTCTCTACCGCTAGAAACCCAATAACCAAGCTAATAAGGCCTTTTAAACGGGCTTAAAAAATTCTAACTCCTGAACTATGTTATATATAAATAGACCGGTTCATCGGGATGCCGTAGGCCCATATTAGGTGGAGCTATAAATGTATCGGACACGAATAAAAAATAAAAATTATTATTAGGGAGGTGTTACGGCCCGTTACGGAATCATTTCGTCGGGTTGTAACTGTTAGATCAACTAACCTCGATAGTTACATGATGATCCAACAATTACAAACCCTGAATGAATGGTTCTGTAACGGGACCGTAGAATTTTTTCATTTATTAATCTAGTTGGATGCAAATAAGAGATTGGGTTGGTTTGGCTATTGAAATAACACGAATTTCTTCCCAAATGATGGCTAATATTTGTGAAATATTATTTTAGTATATAACATTTATTTTGTTGATGTGTACAAATATTTATAGTAAATAATTATAGAGTATCAGTAAATAAGTTTTTTATTTTCAAACTTCTTAATTTTTTGGATGTGAATGATTTGGAACAAATCAAACTCAAATTAATCAAACTACTTATGTAATTTTTTTAATGAATCAATCGAACATGTACATCAATCTTCGACAGATTATGAAATGAAGGAATACGGACACACGAATTCTAAACGAACAAGCACAAATATTGTACATAAATTATATGGATGATTACAATTATATCACTATATTAGACAATTTTTTTTTAGGGAAAATGCTTAATGATGGATTTTTTTTCTTTTTTTTTTTTTGTACAAAGAAGGAGGCCGTAGGCCTAAATGCTAGAGTAGGACTTGACGGAGATAAGAGACCTCGATTAAATCATGTGCGAGCCACTCGCACAAATTAGGAGGAGAAGTATCTAACACCTGAAAGTCAATCGGACAAGAAGCTGCTAAGCTCGCAAAATGGTCGGCCCCAAAGTTGGCTTATATGTATTGTTTCATGAGAAGCGAATAAGAGGGAAACTTGACTTGAAGAAAGTAAAAGGTGATAAAGACTAAGATTTATTGCCACGTTTTACCTTGCTTAATTTTGGAGACATAATGAGATATATTTACTCAAGATATCGATTGATAACTCCCAAATAAGCTTCTTGTTTCTTTGTGAGGCATATTTGCTAGATATTGATGGATAACTGCCCAAAAGTGTGGTGTTTAATCATTTGGGGGCTATAATAAACAGTGCATGGTCTCATAATAATTATCATTATCCATTCCCAAATTCCAATTTTATTTAAACATTTTTTCATAGGGACAACAATTGATGACAACAATATATATATATATGGCAAGGAAAATGTAAAAATAAAAAAAAATAACTGATAACTAAGTGTATTTTACTTACAAATATACCTAGTTGACTCCATCAAAAAATGTTAAAAATAAATTGTATTTGGTTTATTAAAATACACAAAAAGTTTGATATTTTTTTCATACCCTTATTTCAACTTTTGAAATTGAACAAATGGTCTAGTTAAATACTAATATAACAAGTAAAAGTAAAAGAAAATCAAACATTTTATCTCAATCAACTTTCAAATGAGACAATATGAGAATGTTATTTAGGAGCAAATCATCTAGCCCCTCTATCATGATTAATGCATGCTTTTCTTATTAGATACATAATATTAGACCAGCTCCAATGCTGCGCTATTCTGGCGTATTATGCTAGAGTATTGACAAAATTGCTCTCTAACGCTGCGCTACTCTAGAGGTATGAACTGTATCACGCTACATCTGGCGCGATACTATTCATTACTCAACTTTTTATTTTATTTTTATATTATATGCAATTAATTTATAAGAATTTATTCATTGACAAAGTCTGCTTTGCATATAAATGTTAATTATATGGAACTCTGCTTTGCATATAAATGTTAATTAGTAAGTCCAAAATAGAAATAAATTAACTAACTAATCAAAGAAAATATAGGTAGATGTTGTTTTAACTCTATCTAGACCATGTGTGTACACTATAAATGGTTCCATTTTGATTCTCTTTGTAGCATTTGTTAGTAATTAGGATGTATAATCATTTGGTAATAAAAGTTACACATACTTATTTTCAAATAAAAGTGATATTCATTGTAAAATAGTATGTTTAACTAAGATCATCTTCGGTCCTTATCTCTACTCTAGTGTAGAGTTTACTCTACTTTAGAGTAGAGTTAACAAAAAATCAAACTCGACCTCCAATCGTTCGCCGCTACATTCTACTCCACATTTATTATTCATATTATATTAATTTATTTAACATATCAAAATATTATTGAATTGGACATATTATTTTATATAATAAAATATATTATGATACAGGTTTGAAATATTATTCCACAAAGAATTATTATTTTTGTATAATTCTCAAATAAAAATAAATTAAAGTGGATTTGGAGAAGGCTTACCGGTAATATCATTGTAGCTCAAGAACTCATTCATTCCATGAGGACAAAGAGAAGTGGCAAAGGCTATATGGTGATCAAAGTGGATTTGGAGAAGGCTTATGATTTCTTACGATGGGATTTCATACAGGAGACGCTCGTTTTGGCCGGGTTCCCACAACGACTCATACGCGCTATCATGTCATGCGTATCCTCGGCTTCTATCAGACTCTTATGGAATGGCGAAGTCTGTGAAGAATTTCAATCGTCGAGAGGCATTCGCCAAGGGGATCCAATGTCGTCGTTTTTGTTTGTCCTCTGTATGGAACGGTTGGCCCAGCAGATTTGCCTATCGGTGCAGACGGGTGACTGGAGACCGATCAGTTTCGGGCGAGGGACCGTTCATGTACCTTTCCTGATGTTCGCCGACGACTTGTTACTGTTCCTTGAAGCTGATTCTGGCCAGGCAAGGACCTTAACTAATGTACTAGGCAATTTTTGTGCGGCTTCGGGCTTGAAAATCAGCACTTGCAAAACACATATGTTGTTCTCCAAGGTCGTTGCCGAGGATAATCAACATGATTTGGCTGCATTGTGCGGGTTCTCCAGAGTAAATGATTTGGGCCGTTATTTAGGGATGCCTCTCATCAATGGAAGAGTTAACAAATCCACTTTTTCTGGGATTTTGGAGAAGGCGAAGGGACGACTGGCGGGGTGGAAAGCCGCGTCTTTGTCGGCGGCTGGTCGCGTCACGCTAGCTCAATCGATAGTCAGCTCCTTGCCATACTATTCTATGCAAACGGTTAGTTTACCGAGAGCGGTGTGTGAAGGGAATGATAAATCTTGCCGTTCATCTGTGTGGGGAGGCGCGGCTGCCCGCCGAGGCATGCATTTGGTCCCGTGGAATGAAGTATGTCAAGCCCGTGAGTGTGGTGGACTTGGACTGAAGAAGTCTCGTTTGATGAACGATGCCCTCTTGATGAAGTTAGGCTGGGCCCTTCTAACCAAACCCAACTCGCTATGGGTTCGCGTTATGTGTGCAAAGTACAAGCTCAATCCCCGATCCATGTCGAGTGACTACAAATTCCCGCAAGGTTCGGTGTGCTTACGGGCGGTGGCACGGATTTGGCCGTATGTGCTGCGGGGATGTCGTTGGTCCTTGGGAAATGGGTTGAGATGCCGGTTCTGGCTTGACATCTGGGTTGGGACCCAAAAACCACTAATTCTGGAAGCCACGGGCACGGTTTTGCCGGCTGTGATGGAGTTACCAGTTGCAGCTTTTGTGGACTCGTCTGGGGGCTGGAATTGGGATAGATTTGCGGGCCTCCTTCCGACATCGATCGTGCTACGCATCGCGGCAACCATGCCGCCGCAAGCTAGTGCTAGCGATGACCGCTTAATCTGGGGACTCACTAGTCACGGGAATTTTTCGTCGAAATCAGCTTACTCTCTCTTACAAGATCATGCGGTGGCCGTGACTCGCCCTCTGTGGAAAGTGGTGTGGCGGTGCCCAGTAGCCCAGCGGGTGCGACATTTCCTCTGGCTTGCGGCCCGTGATCGGCTGCTTACTAATGAAGAGCGCAGGCGACGTCATTTGGCTGACTCAGCAGATTGTACAGATTGCGGCGAGGCTGAGACCACACTTCATGTCCTTCGGGATTGTGCCGCGGCTCGTTTAATCTGGAACCAACTGGTACCTGCTACAGCGCTTGACAGCTTCGTGGCGATGGAGCTTTCCGACTGGATGTGGCACAACTTGTCCCCGGCTGCAGCGCTTCTGGACAAGTCTTGGCCAGTCACCTTCTCACATGCGTGCTGGAGGATTTGGGCATGGTGTAATGCGGCTATTTTTTCTGACTCACATGGAGGGTTGAGGTTAAAGTGCGTGATATTCGGAGTCGAGTGGAGGGATGTCTAGCGGCAAATGCCAGGGTGACCAAACTTGGGTCATTAGCCCGACAATACGACACGCGTATGATACACTGGGCTTTTCCACCGACGGGCTGGGTGAAGGTGAACACGGATGGGGCGTTCTCATCCCATTTGGGCTGTGGTTATGCGGGCGGACTGGTGCGTGATCCACAGGGCCGCTGGCTCGGGAGTTTTTTGATGAATATTGGTATTTGCTCCATTACTGGGGCCGAATTGTGGGGGCTCTTCCATGGGCTCTCTCTTGCATGGAATATAGGCTTGCGGAAGGTAGTGGCAGAGGTGGACAACAGTAGCGTCATTAACATGGTTATGGGGCGCGAGGATGTGAGTGGGATCCACGACAGCCTTGTCCGGGCAATACGAGAGCTCCGGGATCGTGATTGGACGGTAGAACTGGTACATGTGTTCAGGGAAGCAAACTACGCTGCGGACCATCTGGCTTCACTAGCGGCTTCTGAACCCCTTGGGGTACACCAGTTAGCTGTCCCTCCCCAGTCCGTGGGCAGGTGGCTTGAGCATGACATTGTTGGGGTTGCTTATCCCCGTCGAGTGTTAGTTTAGTAGTTGTTACGCTTCGGTCCCCCTTTATTGTACCGAAAAAAAAAATCATATTTCAATCGACAAATTCATTTGTGCCATTTATTTTTTAAATGTTTATTTTAATTCTTACTACATTTTATTATTTTATAATAATCTTTTTCCACCCAAACATCTTTTATCGCTTATCTCAGTCCCTTCATCCCTTGTGCTCTAACGCTAAGCGTTGAACCTTCCACTGTTCACTGTTCTCTCTACCCATCAATATTTATTATTTCCATTAAAGTTTCCACCTTTTTCAATTTTTGTTTTCGATTAAAATGAGGAAGAAAAAAACATTTATGTCAATGCCCATTAAATGTGTTGTGTCTACGTCGATTCCCTTCTTCAACCCGCTTGATTCTCTCTGATCCACACACTGTCCACTACTCAAAACACACCAGCAAATACACCACACAGTGTGACCGTCTTCTTCAAGAACAGGGTTTCTCTTGCAAGAAAATATTTTTCAAGTGAGAGAGAGAGAGAGAGAGAGAGAGAGAGAGAGAGAGAGAGAGAGAGTCCATAGATGAAGCTATAAATAGCCCGCCTTTGAATTATAGAGTATTTCTTTGGTGGGTTCAATGGGAGTTGTAAGAAAGAAGCTCTATTTTTTTACACTTTTTAGTGTCTGTGAGTGAGTTCAATAAACAAAAAATTGAATCTTTTTGAGGGGTTTCTTTAGTATTTTGGTATGTATACTAAAGGGAGGCTCGTGGCTGGCTCTCACAACAGGAATGAGTTCGTGCTTATCGATGCTGATGAGATTGGAAGAGTAAGTGCTAATACTAAATAATGCTTCTTATTGTGTTCAAATTGTTCGCGCTTAGTGGTGTTGTTGCAGTGTAATAATGCTTCTTTCTGTGTTTCTTGGACATTATGGTATCGAGATGTCCTTTGCCGTCTTTTGATTTTGAGTGGTTTTTTGTTTGGAAGCTTAAAGAAATAATGTGACTTCAAATATTTGTATGTTTAAACTTCAGTGTCCGAATCTCAGTTCATTAGCTGCTGCTGTATCCAACTCTGTCGAGTTATTGGCCACTGGAATTTCTTAATTTATGAGTCTCGTTCATGCTGAATTAGTATAAATTTCTTTCTTTGTTTCGTGTTGTTTTCGCCATCACTTGAACGGAATTGATGTCGTTCATTGTCGGCAGGTGACGTCCGTGAAAGAGCTGAGCGTACAGATGTGCCAAATTTGTGGAGATGAAATCGAATTCGGTGTAGATGGAGAGCCTTTTGTTGCCTGCAATGAATGTGCATTCCCCGTGTGCAGATCGTGTTATGAATACGAAAGAAAGGAGGGTAACCAATTATGTCCCCAGTGCAAAACCAGATACAAGCGCATCAAAGGTTCATTTTTTTTTTTTTTAGTTTATATTCTGAATAGTTTTTAACTTTTAATCTAGTTACTCTATAAATTACTGTTGTTATTCGTGAATTACTAATATTTGCAAGGAATTTACTAATTTTCAGGGAGTCCCAGAGTCGATGGGGATGAAGATGAAGACGAATTCGATGATTTGGAGCATGAGTTTGACTATAATGGCAACCCTCAGCATCTTACTGAAGTGGCTTTATCTGCTCGACTTAACATCGGCCGAAATGCTTTGGGAATTACAGTTCCATCGGAGTTAGGTGGCTCGGCTATTAACTCCGAAATTCCTCTTTTAACCTATGGTCAAGAGGTAAATGACATACCCATATTTTTCAACTGTCTGATTATTTCTTAGCAAATTTGAAGAAAACATGCATTTTTTTTACGAAGGATGACACAATTTCTGCCGACAAGCATGCTCTTATCATCCCCCCTTATATGAGCCGTGGGAATCGAGTCCATCCTATGCTATTTACAGATTCCCCGATGACCCGTGAGTTTGTTTTTCATTTATTGTCTATTATTATTATTATATATGGATGGTTTTATGAATGCTTGATTATTTTGATTTTTCTGGATTAGAAGTTTAATGCATGTATGTGGATTGTAGTGCCAACACGAGCAATGGATCCGAATAAGGACTTAGCGGTTTATGGGTATGGTACTATTGCATGGAAGGAAAGAATGGAGGAATGGAAAAAAAAGCAGAATGAGAGACTTCAGGTGGTTAAGCACCAAGGTGACAATGGTGGTTTCGATGGAGATGAGTTGGACGATCCCGATTTACCCACGTATGATTCACTCGTTTTGTTCACTTATACTGTATACCTTATTAATTATTATTATTATTATTATTATTATTATTATTATTATTATTATTATTATTATTATTATTATTATTATTATTATTACTTTTTTTTTAATTAAAAAAAACCTCTGCTGGTATAGAAAATGTTTGATTTGGCTTTATTGCATTTCTATGTGCTTTTGCTATAACAAATCACATATTGAGTTCCACCGTGAAAATGCTTTTATGAACCGTATTTTCATCTAAAAAACTATGTAAAAAGGCCAGGAAGGCAATGTGCAGGTGTAAAATAAGATGTGAGACACCCAGTTTTTTTAAGTCTGTCCTATTCGTTTTTTACATATTACAGGACGGATGAAGGCAGGCAGCCACTTTCGAGAAAGCTCCCGATTCCCTCGAGTAGAATAAATCCTTACAGGATGGTAATTCTACTCCGCTTGGCGATTCTTGGCTTGTTCTTTCATTACAGAATTCTCCATCCCGTTCATGATGCGTATGGTTTGTGGCTGACGTCGATTGTTTGCGAGATATGGTTTGCCGTCTCGTGGATATTCGACCAGTTCCCAAAGTGGTCCCCTATCGAACGAGAAACGTACCTTGATCGTCTCTCACTCAGGTTTTACAAGTCTATTTCCTTCATTTCTCTGTTTCTCTAATAATCACTCCTGATTTCTTTCTTACGGTTTTTCCTGATTTATTTATTTATTTATTTTTTTTTTATTAACTTCTAAGTTTCTGCATTTTCCAACTGAACATCAGGTATGAGAAAGAAGGCAAGCCCTCAGAGCTAGCTCCCGTTGACATATTTGTGAGTACGGTCGATCCAATGAAGGAACCTCCTCTTATTACTGCAAACACAGTCCTCTCCATACTTGCTGTCGATTACCCGATCGACAAGGTTGCATGCTACGTATCTGATGATGGGGCAGCCATGCTCACCTTTGAAGCCCTCTCCGAGACTTCCGAGTTCGCCCGCAAGTGGGTCCCATTCTGCAAGAGGTTTTGCATCGAGCCACGGGCCCCGGAGTGGTACTTCGCTCAGAAGGTCGACTATTTGAAGGACAAAATCGAGCCCCTTTTTATCAGGGAACGCCGTGCAATGAAGGTACCTGATTTCTTTTTGTCATTGAAAAATAATATATGTTCATTTTTGGGTTTCAGCTTTGATGACTCAACGTTGTGTGCTTTAAATGGTAAAATGCAGAGAGAATATGAGGAGTTTAAAGTTCGAATAAATGGACTGGTGGCCATGGCCCAGAAAGTTCCGGAGGACGGTTGGACCATGCAAGATGGAACTCCTTGGCCTGGAAACAATGTCAGGGATCATCCTGGAATGATCCAGGTCAGCGAATAAGTTCAATCCATTTCATAGCCTGCCAATTGGCACTTTTTTTTTTCTAGATTTTGCTTTTTCCTTGACAGGTGTTCCTCGGCCAAAATGGCGCCCGGGATGTTGAGGGGAACGAGTTGCCCCGCCTTATATACGTTTCTCGTGAGAAAAGGCCAGGACACGAGCATCATAAAAAGGCTGGTGCCATGAATGCTTTGGTTAGTATTATCTCTATTTCTCACTATCTACCCATTTATTTCTTTTTATGATCATTACATTTTTTTCCCGTCACGTCCCCAAGATACGAGTGTCAGCTGTCATTTCAAATGCCCCTTACCTGCTCAACGTCGACTGTGATCACTATATAAATAACAGCAAGGCCCTTAGGGAAGCCATGTGTTTCATGATGGACCCACAATCCGGGAAGAAGATATGCTACGTGCAGTTTCCTCAAAGATTTGATGGAATTGATAGACATGACAGATATTCCAACCGTAATGTCGTCTTTTTCGACGTACGTTGAAGATAAATTCTGAATCTCTGGATATTAAGCTTCTATACGGGTTTTAAAATAAGTGTCTTGCTTTGAAACAGATAAATATGAAAGGCCTTGACGGGATCCAAGGTCCCATTTATGTGGGAACTGGATGTGTCTTCAGGAGGCAAGCTCTGTACGGATATGATGCCCCGAAGAAGAAAAAACCACCCAGGAAAACGTGCAATTGTTTGCCAAAATGGTGTTGCTGCTGTTTTGGATCGAGAAAGAGGAACAAGAAAGGAAAATCCAATGAGAACAAGAAAACTACAAAAAATCGAGAAGCTTCTTTGACTCAGATTCATGCACTTGAGAATATCGAGGACGGAGCTAAAGGTGAGTAAACGGATATTCCAACATTTGTCTGTATTGGAGTTTCTCGTCCAGTTTAAGGCGGTCTAATATTTTTCGACTAGCTTCTATAGTTCCTAATGATTCTATTCAGGCACTCATGTTTATTTTTTCTCCACCTGTACTTTTTTTTTTCCTGGCAGAAGCTGGCAGTGAAAATAGATCAGTAATGCCGCAGATTAAATTCGAATCGAAATTTGGTCAATCTCCCGTGTTTATCGCATCAACTCTTATAGAAGATGGCGGTGTTCCACACGTAGTAACATCTGCCTCACTGCTGAGAGAATCTATTCATGTCATTAGCTGTGGTTATGAAGACAAAACTGAATGGGGAAAAGAGGTATGTATACAATTCCTAATTACCAAATTATGCCTAAAATAAAAATGCATGACAAACAAAAAAAAAAAAGAAGCGCCATTCTAACAATGATGTATTTACCACAGGTTGGATGGATTTACGGTTCTGTGACTGAAGATATTTTAACCGGTTTCAAGATGCATTGCCATGGATGGCGATCAGTTTACTGCATGCCCAAAAGGCCAGCATTCAAAGGGTCGGCCCCAATAAATCTTTCAGACCGTCTGCACCAGGTTCTTAGATGGGCTTTGGGCTCGGTCGAAATCTTATTGAGTCGACACTGTCCGATTTGGTACGGTTATGGTTGCGGTCTGAAACCGCTCGAGAGATTCTCTTACATAAATTCGGTCGTCTACCCCTTAACCTCACTCCCACTGATCACATACTGCACCTTGCCCGCAGTTTGTCTCCTTACCGGCAAATTCATTGTCCCTGAGGTGTGACCCAAAGTTAAAATTTGTTTCGGAAAAGATGATTGATTTTCTCATTTTATATTTTCTCCTTTTTTTTTCGGTAGATAAGCAACTACGCGAGCTTAGTCTTCATGGCACTCTTTGTGTCGATTGCTGTCACGGGAGTCCTCGAGATGCGGTGGGGTCGAGTGGGCATCGATGATTGGTGGCGAAACGAGCAGTTTTGGGTTATAGGTGGCGCCTCCTCTCATTTTTTCGCCCTCATTCAGGGCCTTCTAAAGGTCCTTGCCGGAGTCAACACCAACTTCACGGTCACCTCAAAGGCGGCGGACGATGGGGACTTCTCGGAACTGTACCTCTTCAAGTGGACATCCCTTTTGGTCCTGCCCATGACTCTGATGATCATCAACTTTGTCGGGGTAGCGGTTGGGGTCTCCAATGCCATAAACAACGGGTACGAGGCGTGGGGCCCGCTGTTCGGGAAGCTGTTCTTTGCGTTGTGGGTGATTGTGCATCTGTACCCGTTCCTAAAGGGTTTCGTAGGGAGGCAGGATCGGCTGCCGACCATCATTGCTGTGTGGTCGGTGTTGCTGGCATCGATTTTCTCGTTGCTGTGGGTCCGGGTAGACCCGTTCCTGTCGAGGGATGGGGTCGTGTTGGAGGTTTGCGGGCTCGATTGTGATTAAAGAGGATAGTTTTTTTTTTTGTTTTTTTTTTGGGCATGTAGGAAAGTGAGGAATGTAGGGGAGATGGAAGGAGTTCGTAGATGAAAGAGAAAAAACAGACGGAAAATAACTTGAAGATGTATGTGTGGTTAACTTATTTAATTTTTTTTTTTTTTGGGTGATAAATTGGCTTCTTTTTGCTCTTGTTTTGTTGATAATCTGTGCGTTGTGCTTAGAGAGACATAAGATTTCATGCATAATTCCCCCCTTAAAAATGGCATGATACAAAAGATATTTATTTTTACCTAATTGCATGTAATATCACAATATTACACTTTTTTGTACTTTGAACCAAACTATTGGATATTAACAAACAAAGCATAACCTTATTTTACATATTTGCAAAACAAACTCTAATTTTGCCGGCGATGGTATTTCTGCCAGCGTATCCAACTTGACTCTTTCGTGGACAAATTTCTTGGATGACATGTGTTTAATAGTAATTCATGAGTAAGAGGTAATTGAGCTACCTGAACTCGGGTCGTTCTCTAAGGAGGACTATTCGAAGCTTGGTTTACTACTCAATTGTTCAAATCACAAAAAGAGAAAATAAAGACCTAAACATTCTAATCAAGGGGTTGAGGATTGAATTAACACTAAACAAGCAAATATTACGAACAATAGGAAATAACGAGCAAGTAGCGAAATTGAACTACCGGAGTCTCATGCCATTGACACAATAAAAAGAAAAAACAAATAACAAAGAGAAATATGCAAGTTATGAGAACTAGGTAATTAACTCTCACCCTAAGTCATTAATCTCTAATGGAGTCTTAGCCTTTAATTGAGATAGGCAAGCAATTAACCCCTACAATAACTCAAGCAAGCAATAAAAACAATAAAGTCCTAAAATCGAGCAAACCTTAATCACTTCTACGAACGAGATAACAAATAAGTGCGAAAATCAAAATATAAGTCTTAAGGTAAGTACTCACATCCCTAGCGCATGCTTGATCGA